AAAACAGTGCTGAGATTCCATCTCACTCCAGAAAGAATGGCTGTTATCAAGAAATCAACAACAAGGGCTGGGGATCTAGCTCAGTGTTTCTGCTGCCTGCCTCCCGCAAGGACCTGAGTTCAATCCCTGGTACCAAAAAAAAGAAATCAACAACAAATGCTAGCGGGGCTGTGGGGAAAAGGGAACTGTTCTCCACTGTTGGTGGGAGTGTAGATTGGTTTGGCCACTCGGAAATCAGTATGGAGATTCCTCAAAAACCTAGGAATAGAGGGCCAAGGATTTAACTCAGTGGCACTGTGCCTGCCTTGCAGTGCAAGGTCCTGAGTTCGATCCCTGGTACCAAAAACAAAACAGTAAAAAACTAGGAGTAGAGGTCTCATTTGACCCAGCTGTTTACCTTCTAGATATCTTCCCAAAAGAATTAAAAGCATCATACAGTGATATATGCGCACACCTGTTTATAGCAGCACAGTTTGTAATAGCTAAATCTTGGAAACAACCCAAATGCCCATCAACCAATGAATGGATAAAAAGGTATAGTTCTTTGTATACAGTGGAGTATTACTTATCCATAAAGAAAGATAAACTTGAGAAATTCCTAGGTAAATGAATATACCTTGATACTACACTCTTAAGTGAAACAAATCAGACACATGTGTTTAAATACCTCATTGTCTGTCTGGTGTGAGAAACAAAGTATTAAAAAGGACCAAAATGTGTAATAGGTATTGTGAAATAGGAAGAAATTGTTCAAAAGGAAAAGGGAAGAACTATGGAGTGGGGAGAGAGAGAAGGAAGGAAAAAGAAAAAAATGAGAAGAGCTTGGGATTTAGCTCAGTGGCACTGCACCTGCCTCACAAGCATAAGGTCTTGAGTTTGATCCCTGGTACAAAAAAAAAAGAAATGAGAAAAAAAGGATAAAATGGAAATAAAGCTTTGTAAATAAGGAGGGGAAGAGAAGTTAAAGGGAGGGGAGGGGAAGGGAATGGGAAAAAAAGAAAAATCAAGGTATATCATGTATAGGTACAAATTCCCTATGATGAATGTGATCATTATGTATATCTAAATTGTACCAATAAACTTAATTTTTAAAAACAAAGGAAAAATTTTAAAACTAGCCCCTTTTAATTTTTATAGTTTTTAAATTCATCAAAATCCCCAGGCTGACTCCCCTTCCATTATTATACCACACCATTGGTATGGTTAATAGTATCTTACAAGTCTTCTAGGCTCTGGTACTTTTTCCTCATTCTTTTGGTTTCTTCCTGAGACTGGATTATTTTCCCTATCTTCAAATCCACTGGTTTGGTTTTGTTTTGTCTGGTTTTTTGAGACAGGGTCTCACTATGTAGTTCAGGCTGGCCTTGAAGTCACCGTGTAGCCCAGGCTAACCTCCTGCCTCAGCCTTCAGAGTGCTGGGATTATAGGCATGTGCCACTATGCCCAGCAAATTCACTAATTCTTAATAAAACAGAAAATATTGTCCAAATCTTTGTAGAGTGGTTCTGTGTGGTGACCTTTCCTTAATGTTTATCCAGATTATCTTAAATATTTGTGATATTGTCTATACTGCAGTTCCTTCACTTCTGCTACTGCTGAGCTGAAAGCTTGCTTGCTTACTTGTTCCTCAGCTTTTGATAATCTGTCAAAAATTTACTTTTTGGGAAACACCTTTATAATCTCTCAACTTTAAAATATTTTATTATAGCTTTTTAAAATACTAGTTTTTTAGAAACCTGATTTTTCTTTTAGCACATAAACTGAAAAGCTCAATAAATGTTTTTAAAGCACACTGTTTGACATGTATTTTGTGTTACAGGCAATGAGGTCACTCAAGGAGACAATTGAAGATTGTTGGGACCAAGATGCAGAGGCGAGGCTTACAGCACAGTGTGCTGAGGAGAGGATGGCTGAACTCATGATGATATGGGAAAGAAACAAATCTGTGAGCCCAACAGTCAATCCAATGTCTACTGCTATGCAGAATGAGCGGTAAGACCCTGAAGGGTTTGGCATCCATCAACTACTTTTGGAAACTGAGACCAAGCAAAGAATAGGAAAGAAATATTATTAAACCAACCTAATAGTATAATGATTCATTTATATGATATAAACTCACCACTTTTCTTTCAATATTACTGTTCTTTCACTGAAATTACCTATTTGGTATGACTTCCAAGATGGAATCCATTTTTTGTGTCTAGCAGTAAAGGATTAGTCAATTCTATTGTTTCAACTTCCTGCAATAATAATGGTAAAATATTTTCATAGTTCCAAAAAATTTATTAGACTTCCACATATATTATCTAATATACTCTTTGTTGTTTTCTTCCTCTTCTGCCTTTTTTTCTAAGTAAATGTAAATGGAACTGTTAGCTCAGTGGTACTGTGCCTGCCTCAAAAGTGCAGGGTCCTGAGTTTGATCCCCAGTACCAAAAAAAAAAAATGTAAAGGGAACTATGAACTTACTTATGTATCTTATCACTGTTTCACTGGACACTAAAGTTTCCAGACTTTTTACCTAAAGGTATTTCTTATCAAATATATCTTTCATTCTACCATGAAAATTGTTTTATAAAACACTTTCTTTGCTCAGAACTGTGATTTTAGAAACCTAAAGTTTTTTGGTTTTTCTTTTTGGTACTGGGGATGGAACTCGGGACCTGGCGCTTGCAAGGCAGGCCCTGGAACCACTGAGCTAAATCCCCGGCCCCGAGAACTATGATTTTTGGTTCTGGAAAAAAAAAGATTTTTTAAAAAATTCTGGGCCAGGGATTTAGCTTATTGGTTTCACTGCCTGCTGCATAAGCGCAAGGACCGGAGTTCGATCCCCAGTACCAAAAAAAATTCCTATGACTTGGAACTTTTAGACTGGGTCATCTGTATTTTTATTCCATGTTCAAAAAGCCTTTCAACACATGTGTCATTTTATCAAATATATCTTTAGAAATTTCACAGAATCCAGGAAAGGGTCACCAGAGAAAACTGACATAAAAATATATTAAACAAGTTTCTTTGCCATTTTCTATTCTTTTCCCTCAGAGCAATTTGTGATGACTGTTTGTACTACTTATAATAGATTGAATTACCTTCAGATATAAACTCTTAAACCTTATACATGAACAAGTCAAGAAAGTGAGACTAGCCTTTCTTTTTTCGTTTGTTTGTTTTTTGGTACCAGGGATCAAACTCGGGTCCTTGCGCTTGCGCAGCAGGCAGTGAAACCACTGAGCTAAATCCCCGGCCCTAGCCTTTCTTAATATAGGAGTCATGTTCAAAATATCTAATGAACATTTAAATTTAAAAAAGTTATTACATTAAAAAACACATTGGGGCCAGGGATTTATTAGCTCAGTGGCAGCACACCTGCTTTGCAAGCTCAAGGTCCTGAGTTCGATCCCCAGTACCAAAAACAAAAAACAAACAAAAACCCAGCCTTTCATGCCTCTCAAAATACCCTCCTTCACTTCAGACACACTTATCTCATCATTCTTGCCATTTTCTGAAGCCGTTCTGGAAATCCTTTCATGAGTATCTTTATGAGATATGATAAACAATACAGTAAATGGTGCTGCCAAGTGCCATCCAAGGGAAAGGCAGGCTTGTAAAAATATGTCCTCATTCACCTATTCACTCGATCTGGCACTTTGCGACACTTTCCCCAAAGTCAAAATGACCATGAAAGGTAAACATTTTGAATTGATTCAGGACACTATGGCAACTACAACAGGGTAACTAAAGACCCTCATGAAAGAGGACTTCCAGAACTACTTCAGAAAATGGCAAGAATGATGGGATGACTCTGTCTGCAGTAAGGGAGAGTACTTTGAGGGGGATTAATAGCAGTGTGTCTTTTGCCATAACACATTTTTTAAAATTTAAACATTCACTATATTTTATTACACTTAGTAAATTTTTTCACTTTACAAATACTTGCGGACAGCTTTTTGGTTCCATCTCTCCTCATTCTGAATTTTCCATGTTGTCCAGTATGCTATTTATATCGCTCTTAAAAGTCAACTAAAGCTTTTACTTTATATTTTTGATTAAGCAGTCTATTTTATATATATATATATATATATATTTTTTTTTTTTTTTTTTTTTCCTTGTACCAGGGATCAAACTCGAGTCCTTGCGCTTGCACAGCAGGCAGCAAAACCACTGAGCTAAATCCCCGGCCTGTATATTTTTTTAAATGGTTCTGAACTGTTTTGGGGAATGCTCATAGTTTTGGGCTTTTTTTTTTTTTGGTACCGGGGATCAAACTCAGTACCTCATAGTTATTAGGCAGGCACCCATGCCACTGAACTAAATCCCCAGCCCCTGAACTTTTTTTTAATAGTACAGGAAACAGGGCTGGGGATTTAGCTCAGTGGTTCCTCTGCCTGCCTCACAAACACAAGGACCCAAGTCCGATCCTCGGAACCAAAAAAAAAAAAGTACCAGAAACACTTAATGTGTTATCTAGCCCTGCTCTCAGCCATGCTTTTCTTTTTCTTTTTTCCAGTACCAGGGATTGAACTCAGGACCACCTTTCACTTTCAAGGCAGTTGTGGTGCCACTGAGCTACATCCCTAGCTGCCATGCTTCTTTTCATCTCCAGTATCTCTTAATAGCTTCCAATCAATCATAGTTCATTCTGTAGTCATTCTCACTCTAGTTTTTATTTTATTGACCTTTTTGGGGTTTTTTTGGTACCAGGGATCAAACTCAGGACCTTGCGCTTGCGAGGCAGGCAGCAGAACCACTGAGCTAAATCCCCGGCCCTATTTTATTGACTTTTAACCTCCATACCTCCTTAGCTTCCTTTTCTCATGGCTAGATAACTGCCTTTTCTTCCTTGCCTTCCTGATACTCTCCTTATAACTTTATCAGTCTTCCTTTATAGCACCTCTTCCTCAGCTGCTACTTCTGTCCTGTTACCCATGTAGTTAATGTTCTCAATGTTTTTACCTTGAGTGTTAGTTAAAACCACTGCTGGTTTTTACTTTGATGAGATTTTAAATAATTATAGACATATTACAAGAACTTTCAAGAGTAATCATGACTGTGAAGAACCCTTGATAACCAAAGAGCAGTTCTGAATCTTTGATCTTTTATCTCAGTGTCACATTTTGCTCTTAGGCCATTGGTGGCTAACCATATGATATGCGTGCCACAGCAGGCTGTTTATATCATTGAAAGCTCTAAAAGGTTTGCCATCACTGTCCTAGGTTCTGGAACTTTCACTGATATTCCTCAGACAACCCCTGAAAAATATACTTCTAGACCCTGTCTTTTTATGGAGGACTACACACAAGCTGTATGTAGGCAAGCATTCTGCCACTGAGCTCCATGCCTGGGCCTTTTTAAAATTTTTTTATTTTGAGACAGGGTGTCACTAAATTATCCAAGCTGGACTCAAACTGACAGTCCTCCTCCCTCAGTATCTTGAGTAGCTAGGCTTATATGGGCATATGCCACAACATGCAGCTACCTTGCCTTTTTTTTTGGTACCAGGGATCGAACTCAGGTCCTTGCACTTGCGAGGCAGGCAGCAGAACCACTACCTTGCCTTTTAATGGAGGTACATTAGAACAATCTAAAATCTTATGTTCTTTTTACCATGTAGCTATTGGAACTTAATTTAGATTCTATTTGTTGAGTAGACACTGTGGATCTAGGATTATGGGAGTACAACAGAAACATAAACATGGCTCCCCCTCTCATAAACATAGCATCTGGTTGTACAAGTGTACAGTTCATAAAAGTATATTTGTGATGTTATAAAATTATATGGGGGCTTTTCAGATTAACTCTTCTAAATCAGAATGAGTATCTCTAAAAATCATATCTAGATTTACATAGGTTTTCAGTAGGCTTGATTCAAGTAAAATTAGAATTTAGCAAGTTATTAATTCATGACTATTTTATTAGAGTTTTTAAGTAACTTCAAAAATAATGTAAGTTAGAGGCCCAGGGATTTAGCACAGTGGTGCCGCCACCTGCCTCGCAAGTGCAAGGTCCTGTGTTCAATCCCCGAAATAATAATAATAATGATAATAATAATAATAATAAAAGTTAGGAGTAAAACTGTGAAATCAGAGACATTAAACTTGCAGAGACAATTTGTCCTAAATGCATATTCTCAATGTCACTTTTTTCTTTCTTTAAGCAACCTGTCACATAATAGGCGTGTGCCAAAAATTGGGCCTTACCCAGATTATTCCTCTTCCTCATACATTGAAGACTCCATCCATCACACTGATAGCATTGTGAAGAATATTTCCTCTGAGCATTCAATGTCCAGCACACCTTTGACTATAGGGGAAAAGAACCGAAATTCAATTAATTATGAACGACAGCAAGCACAAGCTCGAATCCCCAGCCCTGAAACAAGTGTCACCAGCCTGTCCACCAACACAACCACCACAAACACGACTGGCCTCACTCCAAGTACTGGCATGACCACTATATCTGAGTTGCCATACCCAGATGAAACAAATCTCCATGCCACAAATGTTGCACAGTCAATTGGTCCAACTCCTGTGTGCTTGCAGCTGACAGAAGAAGACTTGGAGACCAATAAGCTAGACCCAAAAGAAGTTGATAAGAACCTCAAAGAAAGCTCTGATGAGAACCTCATGGAGCATTCTCTTAAACAGTTCAGTGGGCCAGATCCACTGAGCAGCACCAGTTCCAGCTTGCTTTTCCCACTCATAAAGCTTGCAGTGGAAGTGACGGGACAGCAGGACTTCACACAGGCTACAAATGGCCAAGGGTGTTTAATTCCTGATGTTCCGCCCACTCAGATCTATCCTCTCCCTAAGCAACAGAACCTTCCTAAGAGACCTACTAGTTTGCCTTTGAACACCAAAAGTTCAACAAAGGAGCCCCGACTAAAATTTGGCAGTAAGCACAAATCAAACTTGAAACAAGTAGAAACTGGAGTTGCCAAGATGAATACAATCAATGCAGCAGAACCTCACATGGTGACAGTCACCATGAATGGTATGGCAGGTAGAAACCACAATGTCAACTCCCATGCTGCCACCCAGTATGCAAATGGGGTGGTACCATCTGGCCAGACAGCCAATATAGTGGCACACAGGGCCCAAGAAATGCTGCAGAATCAGTTTATTGGTGAGGACACACGGCTAAATATTAATTCCAGTCCTGACGAGCATGAACCTTTACTGAGACGAGAACAGCAAGCTGGCCATGATGAAGGTGTTCTGGATCGTCTCATGGACAGGAGGGAGCGGCCACTAGAAAGTGGCCGAACTAATTCTAATAACAACAATAGCAATCCAGGTTCCGAACAAGATGTTATTACACAGAGTATTTCAAGCACAGTAGCAGATCCTGGGCCATCAAAGCCCAGAAGAGCACAGAGGCCCAATTCTCTGGATCTTTCAGCCACAAATGTCCTGGATGGCTACAGTGTACAGGGTAAGTGGAATTACTCCTACATCTCCTTGGGGACTACTTAAATAACTACATGGAAGCTGGGCATGGTGGCACATGCCTGTAATCCCAGCACTTGGGAGGCTGAGGCAGGAGGATCACCTCGAGTTTGAGGCCAGCCTAGGCTACAAAGTGAGACCCTGTCTCAAAAAAAAAAAAAAAAAAACTATGTAGAATCAAATTGTGTTTCAACTGTTGGTTGTTTACCTTTACCACTTTGGAAATGATTACGCCATTTGTTTAGGTCTCAAAAGTAATTAGATGGGCCAGGGATTTAGCTCAGTGGTTTCGCTGCCTACTGCTCAAGTGCAGGGACCAGAGTTCGATCCCTGGTACCAAAAAAAAAGTAATTAGACTATTATGAAAAAAATAATAATTTTTGTCATCAAGAATATATCAGAGCTCCAAGTAATATTATGGCACTATAACTTTTGAAACATTTTATTATGCATATTAATGTCTATTATATCTACAATTAGATTTTAACATTAAGTCTTCAAAGTTCAGAGAAGTCACAATAAGGAAACTATAAAGTTGCTCTGGTTTTTGGTGTCATCTTTTTCAAAAATTATATATTGAATCTCTCATATACTTATGCTATTGTATTATGGGCCCTAAGGCAGTTTAAACAAGTCGATGCTTGGCTTCCCACAACAAAAGACAGGAAGAGTTTTCCAAAATCTGTAACAGTCATTATGGTACAAAATGGATTTTTTTAAATTAACGGTCATATTTTATGATTGTCACAGAACACACAATGGACTGATGGAAGGATGTGGGTCTTGAAAATTATTGGTAAAATCTAGGCATTTGCTTAAGTGGCTCATATTATAAACCACCCCTATTGTATGGCTCTCTTTCAGTAAAACATCTTGTTCAGTATAGGAAGAGGGAATTATTGAAAAATTTGTTCCCTAATATTTCTGCCATTCTTTGGAAAAATATTATATGCTGAATGCCTTTAAAATTTGATGCATTTTGCACATTAATGGGGTGATTAAGTGTATTTTTTACCAAGTTGGGATATCTGTCAAAAACCAAAAGATTTGTTTTTACTTGTGTCTTTTCTATATTTTCTTCCTTGCCCTATAGTATAAAAAATATTTGGCTTAAGGAATCTTCAAAATACTGTCAGTGATTAAGCTTTGCCTAGAATAATATTGTCTGGCATCATGACCTTCAGAAATGTCCATCAGTCCCTTCCACACATATTGGTTCCCCTGTTCTTGGAATTCAACCCTAAGTTTTTACTTTTTAATATTTTTTTATATGTAATTCATTTTTCTGTACTTTTATTTTTGGTAGGTGAGTCAACACAGGATGGCAAGTCAGGATCAGGTGAAAAGATCAAGAAACGTGTGAAAACTCCCTATTCTCTCAAGCGGTGGCGCCCCTCTACTTGGGTCATCTCCACTGAACCACTGGACTGTGAGGTCAATAACAATAGCAGTGACCGAGCAGTTCCTTCCAAATCTAGCACCGCTGTTTACCTTGCAGAAGGAGGCACTGCCACAACCATGGTGTCTAAAGATATAGGAATGAATTGTCTGTGAAATGTTTTCAAGCTTATGGAGTAAAATTATTTTTTGCATCATTTAAACATGCAGAAGACATTTTTTAAAAACTGCTTTATCTTCCTGTCAGTACCCCCTCCCATACCTGCAACAAGGACTTGCTTTAGATTTCAGCTATGCAGAAAAATTTAGCTTATGCTTCCATATTTTTTAATGTTTTTAAGTTTTGCACTTTTTGTCTAATCTCGCTAAAGTTGTATTTGTCTGTTATGACCACAGAATTATACGTGTGTGTGTGTGTCTGTGTGTGTGTGTGTGTGTGTGTATCAAAAGTGGTCTCAAAATATTTTTTTAAGAAAAAAGGCAAAAACAATGTATTGCTGATAATCAGTTTGGACCATTTTCTAAAGGTCATTAAAACAGAAGCAAATTAAGTACAGGTTTTTTCTGCAGTGGTGTCTGGTATCCATGTTTTATTTCTGGGCACAAGCTAGTTTGTTTTCAAACCTATTACCTGTTGGACATTTCTTTTCTCTTGTATTTTGTTTGAATGTGCAATAGTCTATGGATCACACATAAGCTTTCTTGTAAACTCTCTTCCTAACAGGGCACAGATTCTTCCATATTATAATCATTTTTCTCTCCTATTCTTCCATAATTTAAACATTTTTCTCCACCATCTCCTATACTTTTTATAGGTCAATTCTGTGACAGTGAATTTTGCACAGGAGAAAGCAGCTACCCGATATCTGCTTTCTTTCTCCTTATGGAGAGTGCAGAAACATTGTCTCAAAGGGCTCTGAAGAAGGAACTGCCGAAACCAAAGAAATGGAATGCCATTTCTTTTAACCTTCCAAATCTTAAAAATTTCCTTCCGGGCATTTTAATAAATATGTTTGGTTCTGGTTGAAAGTTCATAAGAGAGCATAGAACAAAGTACGGGAAATCAAAATGTTTTTTCCATTTTATTTTATTTTTCTATGTATGTTTATGTTCCGTATTCATTTATTTTAAAAATACATTTTTATCAAAACGCGTAGAGCTAAACTTACATGAAATTTTTAAGTAAGTTTATGGTTAAGACAATATAGTGTCATAACCTTCATCTCTAAAAAGGTCATTTTTGACTCAAATAAAATTACATTTCCTGTTTATAACTTTAAAAGTAATTCATAGTCTTCAACCTGTAGTATCTTGTATTTTGTTCCCAAGCAAAGCCTGGCAAGTTTACCTGAAAATGATTCCTCTTCCCATGACCTAAAACACTGTGTAGAGAAATCATCCCGCTGGCTCAAGCATCCCTGTGGGAGTAAGGCTGCTGCCAAACTTACCTTTTTGAGCAAACTGAGATTTACCATCTTTCTTTGCAAAACTATTTCTTTGCTCTCCTGTTTTCACAATTTCTCCTTTTGCCAGCTTTTCACATGATCTTTGACATGTGAACAGCATTTATTATTTATATTTTAATAGAGCATACCTTTTAGTGATAACATGCCCTTGAAATTATACTGTATTTTAAGGTTTCCTTTGCTTCTTTCATTACTAATAATCTTCTCTAAAATAGCAACCTTTGTATTTTTTCAATAAAGCACTTTTTGACAAAAAGGGAATTTTTTTCTAAACAGATTATTATCTATCAATTTGCAGAGTGATCTTATTTTCAGATTCTGAGTACTTATTAGACATTGATTTCTAAGAATTTTCTGAAAGATAAAAATTAAGAGGAAAACACAAATCCTCAATTTCCTGATTTAGATTATTTTCTGAACAGTACTTTTTCATTTATATTCCTGTCTTCATCATTTAGCTAAACACAAACTATATTTCTCAATTTTCTGTCCAAAATATTTATGACGTTTTTGTATATAAAAGTCTTGTTATTTGCCATCTGCCATGACCTTATTAGTTAGATGTTACCGTACTTCCCATTTATTCAGCTGCATTGTTGAACACAGTTCTTAATTCATAGAATTAACCTTATCTTACTAGTGCCCAGGGTTTCTACCTTTTATGCTTTACTGGCCCTTCTCTTGAATCAGACCCTTAACATATGTTTTAGTCTCTTGGCATATCCTTTTTCTCATACAGCTATTATCTTTTATCTGTGTAACAAATTATTGTATCCTTCCCAGTAAATTTTCACTTAGTTCTCTTTACGTGTCTTTCAAATAGATTTCAAGGTACTGTTTTCAAACATTTCTGGGACAACTTCAAATCAAAATATATTTCATCTCCAACTTGCAGCATTGAGGATAAGTGACCATTTGAGGTCTAACTCTTCCTGTCAGTATAGGAGTTACCTTATGTTCTGAGTATTTGGGCCAGATGATTGTAAGTTTTCCAACATTTTAACATTTAATAATAAAATTATTTTTAAAATTAATATACTAGAGTAAAAGAACTCTGTATATTTTCCCATTTCATGCAAACATGTTTAAAACAGTTTATTCAGTTGTTTTATTAGACTGTTGAAAGAGTAGGAAAGGTAGAAAGTGCATATTATTTTAATAAATCTTAGATTATATTTTATATCCAATTTTTAGAATCTGTATTATACAAGCAAGCAAAATCACTTTAAGTGACTAATGACTCAAATAAATTGCTAAGTGTATTCATCCGATAATGTATCAAAGCTGATATTCAACTAAAGAAAATTTTGCATGTCAAAAAGAATTTAGGTCCTTTGAGTAAAAGGACATTCAGTTAACAGATATTAAACTTTATTTCACTAGATAGTAAGGACCTTAAAAGCATCATAATAGGCAATCTGTTAATAGTTCCCTTAACAAAAATCCTAATTATATGCCAGAATTAAGTAACTGAAATAACTTGATTTGAATTATAATTAGACTAAAATGACATATATAAATCCTAAAAACTTTTTCTAAATGTATAATTTAAAAACACTTCTTGTAGAAAGTTATGAGAAGGAACATACTAAATGCTAGGATACACCTGCATTGCTGCTTTTAATCACAGCAACCAGATGAACATTATAATTGCTATTCCTACTTTACAGATGAGGAAACAAAAGAGAAGCTAGGTACTAGTTTGTCCCAGGTTGAAATCTAGTAATAGACAAAGCTGGGGTTTTTAACCTGGGTGTGCCTCCCAAATCAATTTTTAGCAGTTAGGCAAACATAAGATGTGTAGCATAGACATAGACATGTCTATGCTCATTGCTGCTTAAGAAATAATTACTAACTCAAGACAAAATTTGATCCTACACATGCCATTGTGAATCTTAAAATCATTTCACCGAACCCATAGCATTCTTATATTGCAGAGCTAAAGGTAAAATAAATTCAAGGGAAAAGTAAAGGTAGCTATGGGAACAAAAGGCTTTTTCCTAATTTATTTCATACTAGTTTTGCAACAATTAATTTAACATCAATCTCATTAGTCCTTTGCCTATATCTTCAAAATGTCTGCTTCAGAAAGTGACTTTAGAAAATTTGTTATTCCAGAGAACTAGTTGAGTAGAATATAGAAAGAAAAAAGGACATCTTGGTTTTTTGGGGTTTTTTTTTTTTTGGTTCCAGAGATCGAACTCGGGTCCTTGCACTTGCGAGGCAGGTGGCAGAACCACTGAGCTCAATTCCGGACCGAGGACATCTTGTTTATAAAGCAGTTTAGTTTAGAATAATTTCAAATGTATGGGCCGGGGATTTAGCTCAGTGGTTTTGCCATCTGCTGCGCAAGCGCAAGGACCCGAGTTCGATCCCCAGTACCAAAAAAAACCCAAAATGTATGTTAGTTCTGAATGTGAAAATAGAGGTACTGTACTCAAGTATATGTTTCAGTGGGAATTCTCACAAAATTTGGTAAATAATTGAATGTAAAATATTTTCAAGTTTTGCTTGAAAATGGAATACCTGGTAGGCCCCAGCTATTATAGTGAACTTCCTAGTCTCTGTAACTCTTTCTTGAAAGTTATTTAAAATGGAAAAATATTTCAGTACTTTGTTTCCTTTTTTCATATTTATGGACATAAATATTTCATTGGAGGTTGTTAACTCCTAGAACTTGACATTAAATTGTACTCTATACCATATTTTATAAGTTTATGTTGAACTTACTCCTAGTTTTATGGAGGTTATTACAAAATTATTCATAAATTGCTTTATATATTAATTTATCTTACCAGCTAACTCCTTAAAGTTACAATCTGTACATGCATTACTTGATTATCTAGATCATTCTAGAAATTGTGTAACATTCCCACATCCAGAAATCTCTTTCAGGCTTGAGATGTTTCTAAATATTCATACCCTTGACTGGCAGTGTTCTTTTCAGCAGATAAAATTGCATTTTAGCTTTTAGATTATGAACTATGCAAACTTTCCCCACAGTTACCTTACATTATCCTCTCCTAAATAAACTCATGGTTAAATAAATCTGATAATCATTGAACTAGTAACACAAAAGTTACTATCAAAAGAAGGCTTTTATAGAAAGTTTCCAAATTAACGTACAAGAAACGTGTAGCCCACAAGATGGTATAGTGCACCTCCTACCCATTCCTCTTTTTAAATCACCTCATTGTTTATGTCTCACTTTATCCCTCTGCTATCTGACTTGTAATCTATGTGTCAGGGAAGTTTTCATGTCTAGTCTGTCTCCTTGTTTTAACTTTAAATCTATTTCTCTAGCCCAGTAGGAAAGAAAGAACAGTTGCTCCACTCCCCAATATTGTTATTCTAGTATGCTTCAGGCTGCTGAGTTACCATCTAAAATCTCAGTTCTTCCAGATAAAATTGTCACATTTCCTTTAGCTTTTTCTCATTGGTCCCATTTTAATGACTTTATTTATATTTAAGAGAACATTAATTACTCCAGTTAAATAATATTTCAATGGTTTGATATAATTGAGAGTTAATATGTTATCATTTGATATTGAATGCAACCATCAAACCACCAGGAAATTGGCGCTTAGTTTTTGTATTATCTAACATTTTCTATTAAATTTTGGGAGTTTTATGAATTTCACTAGCTGTAACTAAAAAGCTATGCATACAGAATTGTATAACATTTTGCTATTAAAATTGTTTACCCTATATTGCAGTAGGCTTAGTGTTATGATTGAGCCACAACAATGTTTTATATGTTCCTTTATATCAAATATTGTATTAAACACTACATACAAGTTAACTTTCAAAAACAAACCCTAGAGAAATTAGGTATTATCGATGAACATTTTTGAGGACCACTTTTGAAATACTTTTGTTTCACAACATAGACTTAAATGACCGAGTAAAGTTGAGTGTTTGTATAGAAAGAAAAATTTACAAATTTATCAGATACATTTGAACATACTTACAGATTTATGCTGTAAATTAAAATTATTCCCAAAATAAATATATTGTATCTTTAAAAATTCCAGTTCCATTATTACTGTGACACAGTATTTGTGATATTACTATTAAAAATTATAAACATATACATTTATTTTTAAAACTCAATTTGAAACCCACATTAAAGTATGGGTAAGAGGGCCGGGGATTTAGCTCAGTGGTTCCGGTGCCTGCCTCGAAAGCACAAGGTCCCAAGTTTGATCCCCGGTACCAAATAAATAAATAAATAAAGTGTGGGTAAGAAAAGGAATCTTTAGAGCTCAGTTATTTCATTAGGGATGTCCAGTTTATGACTAATTTTTTTCTTTTGACAATACTGAGGATTGAACTCAGGGGCTTCACACTGAGCTACCATCTCCAGCCCCAGGCTAGGCTCACATTTGAAATACTGCCTCTGCCTCTCAGTGTGCTTGAATTACAGGCATTCACGACCACACCCAGCTCTATGATTGGATTTTTAACAAAATTAGAGTACCTGAAATTACAATTTGATTTTTTTCAAACACATTGGTTTATCCATTTATTTGTACATTAGATTTCAGAAGCATTTTTATGTTTCAGAATCACACATGATATTACTTAAAAACTCAGGGCCCCTTTTATCCCTTTGTACACTGAAAAAGTTCAATTAGTACAAGCAAGGAATTAAGTCCAGTTGAATAAAATGTTTGTTGCACAGTTCATTTAATGTTTCATTTATTTGACTTAATTCATATAGTATCAATTTCATTAATCATAAAAACTCACCCAGTTCTGTACTGAATAGAAGGAATGATTCAACTAATTGGCTGCTTGTTCTAGCAAATTTAGGTCTTTGAGTTGAAACACCAGCTTAAAACCTCTCTGTTCTTTGGCTAAATGGCTGGGCAGAATGAGACAAATCACTTCATTTTGTTTTGTTTGTTTAAAAGAAGAATGTAGTAAAGTAATTCCTCTGAGGTAAAATCTTGAGTGGTAATTTAACATTACAAATCTTCTAAAAGTGAACTAATGAGTTTATAGCTATAGTAATGGTGTGGACGATTTTGTGAAAGTGATCTATGGTAACCTGTGTATCCCATTGTCAGGCCCAATCAGAATTCTTTAAACCAGACAAGCTCAATATCTCATTTGGTATGCTGTATATTTAAATCCTAGCAGTGAAGTTATGTGTAATCAGTCTCTTGTCTCAGGCTCTCCTTTTTTTTTTTTTAACCAATCTTCCTAAGTATGTAAAAGAAACATTTTTAAAGAAGCTTACCAGTAAAAAAAAAAAAAATACTGAATTCCTAAAAGATGCAATTCAAAAATAGGTTATAATTTAACATTGAATTTCTTGATTGCTGTGGCTTTTCTTTTTCTGGTCACATTTATTTATTTAAACAATTTTTGTATGCCTCTTTTCCATTTCTGTAGACATATTATGTAAGCATTTGTGTAAGCTGGAATCATCCTTAAGTTTTCTGTTGACAATTTTTCAAATGAAGATACATGGATAATTGTAAAATACACTAACTCTTAGGGTGTTATAGTAGCTGAAAACGAGATGTGTAGCTGCCATGCTTTTGCTGAATGGACAGGAGAAACAAGCTACAGAGTATTTGTTTCTGAGGATGCTTTTCTGGAAAAAGGTTGAAAAATATTGGCACTTCCTCAGAACCCTCTTTCTTGTTAACGGGTATCTTTTGTTGGTGTGTTTTGCTCTTAACATTAAAAATAGTGTCATTATGAATTAATGAATAATTACTTTCAGTTATTTTGCTTTTGTATAAGCTGTCTGAGACCTTGCTATGCAGTATAAGTTGTGTTTGATGGATCAGTGTGAGTATGAAATAAAGCAAATCACTTTTCTTTTGTATTATCTATGGATGCCACTATGAAAGCTGACATTAAGCCACTAAAGAGTTTTCTATGAATAAGTGTAAGTAAATGCTTTGATATATATAAACCTAAATAAAAAGATTGTATTGATACAAAGACATTGGAGAAGGAGATTTTAAGACCGTTCTTTAGGTTTAAAAAGGCTTGCTGTAAAATGGTGCATTATTCCATTTATTAAAGATCATATTAATGACAACAGTAATTGTATTGTATTTATTTTATGAGGTCTCCAGAAATGTATTGCTAGTATGATATTTTAGGTATTTTGCACTAGAATAGTAAATGTTCTGTCTGATATGACTTTCATAACTCAAGATACATTTTTAAAAATCAGCTGAAGTTAGAATAGTTGCTACTTTCTGACCACCGACAAAATATGCTGGGTACTATTAGTTATTTTACATACATTATTATGTTCACTTTCTGTTGCTGTGACAAAATACCTGGAAAGTCAACATGAAGAGAGGAATGATTTATCTTGGCTCAGGGTTCAGAGATTTCAGTCCATGGTCAGCTGTTTCTGTTGCTGTGAACCTGGGGTGAAGAACACCGTGGAGGGCATAGCAAAGGAAGGCTGCTCACCTGAGGGCAGCAAAGAAGTAGAGCAAGAGAACCAAAGAGGAGAGGGCCAGGAACAAGATACGCCCTTCTGAGGAAAACACCAGTGACTGACTTCCTTCAGCTGGGCTTTACCTGTTAATAGCTCATTCAGCCAGTGAACTATCCATGACCCGTTGATGACTCATCAGTAACTCTGTGATGAGGATCTAACTCAGGATCTAATCACCTTTCCAGGCCTCACCTTTGAACATTGCTACTTTGGAGATCAAGCCCTCAGTAACATGCTTTGGGGAAAATTTCAGATCTAAACTATAACAATAGTTTATAATTCTCATTAAAATCCTATAAAATATGTATTATCTCCTTTTTATAAGAAACAAGATCAGAGAAATTTAATACCTTGCCGAAAGCCACAGATCCTAACACATTTTCCATTGTACTTTGAACCATAGCTTTCAACCTTTGCTTGTGACAAAACAAGTTTCAAAACCAAAAAATGAAAACAGTTCAACAAAGTGGCCAGGAGCATGCATGAAATAATTCAGGGGTGCTGAAAAGCTAGTAGGTACTCAAGTACAGTGGACCCTTGACTAACAAACTCGATTGGTCTCCCTGAGGGCTGGTTGTAATTCAAAGTGGTTGTAAATCAATACAGCTGAGATTTGCATGTTTATCTGGGTACACACTACAGATAACAAGAGGCAGATGAGTTGTGCGTATGTCAGGCAGGTCATAACTTAAGGGTTCACTGTAACTTTCTGTTCACCTAAGATTGTAGCTGTACTCAATAATCTTTTGGTTAGATCTTTATATTTTTAGAAGGCTTGCTTGCTTTTTTCTTTGTATTTTTATTTTTTACTTTTATTGGTACATTTTAGGTATACAATATAATGACATTCATCATTGGAAATTTGCACCTTTACATAATCTCTCTTGGTTCTTATTTTTTCCCCATTCCCCTGGTCTCCC